GTTATGTCCAGATTACCACTCGGGAGATGGTTATGGCACAATGGCCCGATTTATCTTGCTGCGCGTGGCAGAACACGGCCCAGGATCACCAGACCCGAATTTATATCTATGAGAGAAGGGATGTGTATATGGTTGTGTTAGAATTCCTTTTGATTGGTGCCCCCCCGCGGGGCTCCACCTGCTGCCCTGCACCTCCAGCCAGTCCTCAATTTATCAGCTGACGATCCAAGAACTCAGAATCAGAATTGATTTTGTTATTGCCAGTAAAGTTTTTTACACCTACAAGGAACGTTTGTCTTTTTGGGTGCATTGGTGGCCTGGCAATCATACAAATATACAAATCACCAAAAATCACTGTTAAAAGTACTTTTAATATAAAATAAATAAGAGATAAGAAAGGAAATAGAAAAAGTAAGCCCATGTGGACAGATTCAAAGTTGCATTTACTCCAGTACCAAAGTTTGTCTTATTTACCATTTGTTTGGATGTTCATGAGCTGCTCATCAGGTTCTTGCTTAGAGACATTAAATTGACTAACTTTGGCTTTAAATTGACCAACCTTTTGACAACGTGGCTAACATCAATTCCACTTCAACCCATAACAGCAGTAGCAAACCGAAAAAAACGGCCCTAGACATCATTAAACATGTTAATCCCAAGCCACTTACAATTACACATTCACACCAACAACTTTTTCTATGTGTGAGGCTCGCTTAAATGAGCTGGGCTTTGCTCCAGAAAGCACACTCTCCAACTGAAACGATCCCCTCCAAAAGAACATACAGTATACAACTAATAAGTAGCTTGGAACAATAATTGGTGTGGTCTTCAGTATGTTTTATCTGAACAAAAAAAGAAGTTTAATTTCCACATTAAATCCTTACAAATTCCATCCTCCTCCCTTCACTTAAGTTATAAAATTCCAAGAAATCTCTGAATATGCAAATGGTTGTTCAATTTCTAAAGTTTCCTGCTTGGACACAAAATGTCTCCTACTTCACTGTACAGCCTTCCCAGTTGATGTGCACTGGTGGCTTTTCAGGGTTCCAATTTATGATGTACAAATCATGCCTGTAGGGCCCGCCCCTTTAAAATCAGATTTCAATGAGTGCATGTAGGGCGGACCTTTTGAAGAGTCATGTGAGAGAGAATATCATTTCTTCCTGAGCCAGATCAAGAACATTAGTATCTAATACAAATACAGACTAGTCCTTTTGATGAAACGCTCAAGAATTTCTATCTCCTTTCGAGGAAAAAAGCAGGGGCTTTTGATCTGAATTATGTGGTCCTTATGCCCACCCTGGCCTGTGCAGGACTCTGTACAGGTACCTCAACTGGCTATCTGCGTTGGCTCGAGCCTGCCGGCTAATTCACACTCCAGCAGGGTCCGTCCCATGCAGTGCTGGTACCGGTCTACACACTCGTGCTCGCCTTTCACCTCTCTCGACATCCCTCCTGCACTTTGTCTCCGCGCATGAACATAGAATCATGTCAAGGAACAGCTTGCCAAGTCGTCATTAGAAATGCAGCCAGTTACACTTATAGACAGGTTAGTATAATACCCTTTTGTATCTTCGGACTGTAGCTAAAGGTTAATATATATCGAGAAAACTAAAAACAATTATACGCAGCAAACACTATTAGCTCTGCCAGCCATGAAGTTAAAACGCTGTTGCGATGATATCCCAGAGGTAAATTACTGGGTCTGTTGTCAATGGAGCGCTGCGTTGCGCTGCAGTTGCCCATTGGTTTGCTTGGTCGTTGAGGGGATACGACTCTTAACTCTAACTGGCGACATCTACAACCTTAACACATATAGAAAAAAACTGAAAATTGGTAAAGGGGAAAAGTTCTATTACTAGTACCTTTGTCATTTACTAACTGCGTTTTTCAGTGATATAAAGGTTACTATTATCCACATTGATCTCATTGATCTGCACATTTTCGTTTTAATATTTTAACTTAAAATGGTGTATTTGTTTTAAATGAAAAATTGTATAATTTATATGTTCTAAGTGGGTTGGCCAGGACACAGTGAAGGTCACACACCTTTAACGTTATCACGGTGGGCATCTCCCGACCTGCCGATACACCAATCAAGAGAGGCTCACGTAAACTACAAAATATCGCATGAACTGTTTTGTGCAGCTTCTGTGCGAGTCCCAGCAGCCTCGGAGACTATCTGCTCTGCCTCCATGTAGCCACCTTCAGCTGCTGCAGAGCTGCCTCCAGCCTCCACAGGGTCTGCACAGGTCCCCCTCTGCCTGGACCACCGGCTCTCAGCACACGCACACACCACACTCATGTAATCTCAACAGGTTTGAAAAAAGTTTTCAAGAAAAAAGTTAGCACGAGGAACTATTTTCTAAGCTAAATCAGTCTACTTAAGGCCTACGTGTGTGTGTGTGTGTGTGTGTGTGTGTGTGTGTGTGTGTGTGTGTGTTGTGTGGGATGGGGTATCACCTGCAGGATAACAAATTCTTTGTTGAAGGAGGGCGAACGGGACGGGGTTTCTCTCTTCTTCTCTCGGAGTGACGAGGCCTGCTGGTTTCTCCTCATCCTCTCCAGCTGCTCCTCCACGCTCATCCTCGTTCTGCCCACCTCTCGCTCCCCAAAACCCGTCTGATCCACCGCACTCCTGGGGCGGTCCTGTTCAGGACAACACTCAGCCTTTCATCCAAAGCAAAGGTTTGCTGTGGATACTAAAGCTGTCCTGACTGTCTGACCTTTCCTTCCATAGCACAATCGTCATGTATGAGCTTTTGACTTTTTAAATCTGTGAGTGAGTGTTTACGGTCAGGATGTATGTTGGTGCAGTGTAGGTGTGAGTGTAGGCTACAGCCACGAGGGATAGTTACATCAGATCCTGTGTCCAGGCTTCATCTGTGGTTACAGTCAGCTTATATTTTTAACCTTGATGTGGCAGAATGAGAGATATTTTTTATTTGACTGAGTCAGCGAGCATAGCCTCGCTGTGGAGAAGGGACGCCATAAACAGAGCCGGCTGCCGGAGGAGGACAGACCCTGCTCCCGGTGTGACAGAGGACAGGTAATGACACAGCTACACTTCCTCACCTCATGCCCCAAATACCAGGCTTTTTCCTAATATTGTAAAAATACAGCCAGAATCTGAAAACAGACATAGAGAAACTGTCATATATACTTGGGGAAATGCCCAAATGTGAGATCATTGCTGCAAAATGTATCAGATCCTGTAATGACCTCAGGACAACCAGTGGAACCTGAGAAATAACTCTCTGTTGATTTCTTTAAATGTATTTATTTATTTATTTAAATTGTTGTTATTGTTTTTATTATTTTTGTATATCAGTCAACCTTGCTGACAGGCCTATAACTATTTAGTTTGTTATAACCTGACTAATGATTATCTGTAAATAATTTCATGATTTTGCACACTGATCATATCAACACATACTCACACACACAAACAACATTAACACACGCACACACTCATTCATTAAGACTCTATTCCAGGGAGAGCATGACAACCTCCAGCACAAGTGTGATAAAGAGCGACAGATTAAAGAACCTTTTTGAAAAGGGATTAAGAAAAAGAAGGCGGTATGTTTGACCCAGAACAAAGACAGATCTTTCTGCTCTGAGATGTGAAAACAGGCAGTGAACCTGAGGGGAAAATGGGAAACTCTTCTGCCAGGCAGCAAACATATGACATGTGCCAAAAGTGGTTAGTAGAGTGAATACACTGCTTGCTTTGAATGAGACTGTCAGGTAAAGTGAGATGTCATTGTAAATGTATTATTAAAAGATATGTACTTCCTTGTTGGCAGGGCAGATTAAGAATCTACTGAGCTCTGACTCAAAGGAATGTTCACCCACACAAACACAGCGATAACAAAACAGCAATCCTTCGGGCTGATTGTGCCACATTCACTGAGCTGGAATTGGTTCATTTCATCTAAACAAGCATTTGTGTCTGTTGATGCTGAGGGCAAAACCTACTGATCTGGATTCAGGCTTCTTAGTCTTCCTCAGGGTGACGTAGGAGGCGATGGTGGAGGACTCGGGAGGGCTCATGGGAGATTTGGTCCTGGGAGGGACGATGCCCACCGGGCAGGGGGGCGCTGTCGGAGAGATGCCAGGAAACACTTACACATTAGCAAACAAACACTGCAGTCAGGCTAATTGCTCACGTTGTGGCAGGAAATGCAACCGTGCTCCATTTCACTAAAGATGCAAAACATGTGAACAGAATGCTAACAGAAACAGGAGACGTTCAGGGACAGTGCTGCTGTTTGTTGTTTCAGTGCAATTTCAGCAGCACAAATCAACATTACAAATTTACAAATACAAAATTATAATACATTAATTAATTAAGTCTGCTTTTTGACTGACAATTAAAATTTGTGTTTAATGTCTGTATTGTTTAATACACTTAACACTACAATCTCCTTATAGGAAAATGATTGGCCATAGCTTGATGCCTGGAAATATAGATTCTCACTTGATCTTGTGAGTCCAGCTGTCTATAGCAAGGTTCATTCACAGGTGTTACCTGGTAGGATTCTGAACCTCTCACACTTGTGTTTATTATTATTATTATTTATTCAACTTATTCCTCCATCTGGATCCTAACTGCCTTTGGGCTCCGTTTATCCCTTCCCCTCTATTTACTGTGACGACATGAGTAAGAAGTGACCATTTGCTTTAAAATAATAATGCTGGCTGCTAAAGAGGTTAGCATAGATGCTGCTAGCATCAGTTCTATCAGAACTGGAGAGTATTTCTACATTGAAAGAAGAGCAAAGAACGAAAAGATGTTTTCCGAGGATTAATCCATGGCTGGGTTTATTCCTTAACATTTGGTTTGAGATTATATCAAAGAATAGCCTTACAGAGCAGAGTAGGTTACTGAGATGGATTGCACATGATTCAGATTTTACACCTAATACAATAGATGGGAGTTTCAGAAGATGGGGTGGGGGACCAACAATATTCTGGGAGCTCTTTAAGAAGAAGAAAATTAAAAGTTTTCAAGATCTAAAGAATCAATTTGGTTTAAAAAAAATCAGGATTTATACAGATATTTACAGAAATTAATCTCAAAATGATATAAAGAAGTGGAAAATTTAAAAGGTCATAATACAGCATATATAAAAGAAAAATGGGAGAAGGAAGTGGGAAGGATGTTGTCAAAGGAGGAATGGGAAGAGATCAATGAACAACAATGGAAGACAACATGCTCCCTCTCATGGAGAGAATATGGTTGGCAGAACATAGTGAGATATTTTATTACTCCAGCACAACAGAAATCTCAGGATACGAGATGTTGGAGACTATGTGGAGAAAGTAAAGCCAACCATTTTCATATCTTTTGGGAATGCGCCTCTATTATACCTTATTGGCTAATGCGTGGAGAAAATTTGGAAAGTGGAACTGCCATTTACATAACAAATTCAGGGGACAAATACTTATTCAGAATAATGTTAGTGGCAGGTAAAAAAGCCATCACCAGGAAGTGGCTGAAAACGGAGGTACCTAAAATAGAGGATTGGGTCGAAGTAATGCATATTTGCAGAATTCCTGGAATAACTGGGTTGATTTTGTAACATTACTGAGAACAGACTTTATTTGGTAAAATCAATGTATCTTATGGATCCCCTTGGTTCTTGCTACAATTTTTAAATGTTCAATGTTCATAAGATTGTTCGGCATTATCCTTCACCAGGTGAGAAAGGTCTTTACAAGTGGGTAATGAAAATGTGGATTGAAGTGAAAAATGTACTAATTTCTAGTCTACTGAATTTTGTGTTTAATTGTGAATTTTTTCTCTATTTATGTTTCTGATCCCTGGTGTGAAGTATTTGTAGGCTCTGTATACATGGAAAACATATGTGTGAGATGTTAAATGCTAATGGCACAATGCTGAATGGAATCAATAAAAAAGTTAATTTAAAAAAAAGAAAAGATGTTTTCCATGGAAATGATATTGTGATATATTGCAAATTCCTTTTTTAAATGTAATTTTAGGAAAACCTGTATAAACAACACAAGACCATATGAATACAATCTGAATTGACAAAAATTGATAAGTGTTTTTGAGAATTGATACACAAAACAAAACAAAGCAAAGCAAAACAAAACATTAAATACAATATTTTTTAATATTTTCTTACAACTGGAACATCCAACACTGATAGCTCTATGTTGACTGAATCGAGGGGTACCTTTTGAGGCTGCAACATCTTTACTCTCAGCAGAGGTCTCCGTCTTGTCCTTGTCCTCCCCATTAGCCTCGTCCACTTCCTCCTTCACTGTGGTCAGCTCAGGCTCACTCTTATACAGCCGGTAGTCCGGAGCTTGCTGCAAGGGAGAGGGGAGCTCAGGGTCAGAATACACACCGTACAGCAAACTGAAATTATTATGACTTCATTCTCAAAATCTCAGGTTGCTTCCTTACATTGGCACTCATACATAGATGCAAAGCTAAGATGAAAAACTTCTTGCCATCAGCAAGAATCATTTCTCTTCTGTCCAAGACTTTAAGTGGCAACACAGAAACAAGAGAGGAGTTGCAGTGAAGACAGAGGCAGGAGATACAAGGTTTTCATCTAAAAGCCACACTGTGATCTTACAGTAAATGGCTCTTAGCATCAAAACCATTCTTGTAGAACCATTAATGGTTCACTGAGAACCTCTTTTAAAGCACCAAAATGTGCACTTAAGTGGAACAGCATGGAGTTTTCTGGTGCTACAAAGAGGCTTTTTGACTGTAAAGTAGAAGGCAGAACACGCTCAAAAAGTGTAAACCCACACAATGAAAACATCAGCCTCACAACAATGAATGCCACAGATAAATCCATGTACGGACCAGAATGGGTCTGAATGTAACACTGTAGGTGAGTGACGGTGACAACTGGATGGATTGCAGGAGTAAAAAAGACAAAAAGACAACAATGAAGTGAATGACATGTATCCAAAAATGGGGCTCCCTGAGGAATGAGTCTCTTCAGTGTATATTAATGCAGACTTTAGGATGGAGGTTGAAAAGTGACAATGATGAAAATGAACACAAGAATGGTTGGAAGCACGCAGAATCTCTTGAAATCAAGGTGTGCTGATGGGTGGCGGTCACAGATGGAGGAGCAGACATTGGAGGGGGATGAAGGTTTTTCAGCGGCTCTTACACTGTGTGCTCCGTTCCTGGAGCTGGCCTTGCGGTCCTCGGGGCGGTGCGCATGGGAAGGCAGGCGGACGCTAGGGTGCGAGTGGTGGGGGGGCACGTGAGGGGGGCGCTCTGATGAGTCGTAG